ATCCTCGGCTTTCCACTGTGATGTTTATGTTGGTGAGTTTCTGCATTCATTCTACTTACAGTTTGTTGAGATTTCTGGATATGTGGTTAGTTACTGTTTTTAAAGAAACTAGAACGTTTTTAGTGATTATTTCTTCAAATAATTTTCCTTCTACTTTTTCTTCTTTCCTTGTATTTCTATTATTTCTTGGTATGCTTAATTGGTGTCCCACATATCTCTGAGTTTTTGTTCATTTTTACTAGTTCTATGTTTTTAGCTTGCATAATTCATATTGATATATCTTCAAGTTCACTAATTCTTCTTCCAGTTTGCAGTTATCAAACCTGCTATTAGTTTTCTAGGGCTGTCATAACAAGGTACAACAGAATTTATTTTTTCACAATTCTGGGTTCTAGAAGTCAGAAATGAAGTTATTGTCAAGGTTGATTTCTTAGAGGCATGAAAGAATGATCTGTTCCAAGCCTCTTTTGGCTTGTAGATGGCCATCTTAATATTCATATCATGTTCTACCTGTTGGAGACACCAGTCATATTAGAGTTAGACCTAATGTCTTCATTTTATCTTAATTTCTTCCTTAAAATCCTATCTTCAAATAAAGTCACAGTTGAAAGTATCGGTGGGTAGGACATCAGCTTATAAATTTTGAGGGATACAGTTCAACCCATAACAAGCCTTTCTAGTAAATTTCTAATTTCAGTTATTGTATTTTTCAGTTTCATAATTTTGATTTTATTTTTCATTATTTCTTCATTGATATTCTCTATTTGATGCTGTACTATCTTCATAGCCTTGTTTATTTCTGCAATCATGCTTTGCTTTGGCACTATGAACATACTGACAGTGGTTACCTTGAAATCTCTTTCTGTTAAATCTAACATCTGGTCACTCACTGTTTCTGTTCTTCACTTTCTTTCTTCTAGAGTGTGGATTATATTTTCTTTTTTCTTCACATGTCTCTTATGTTAACAATTAAGCATTTTAGATAATATATTGTAGCAACTTTGTGTGATAGTCTCCACCCACCCCATTCTTGGGGCTTGTTATTGTTATTTTCTTGCTTATTATTTTTAGTGACTGATTGGATTATTTTTAGTATATGTGCTACCAAAGTGAGCACTCTGATTGGATTATTTATTCCGACCCCATCCCTAGTGGTAAGCCTTTGCTGTTGCTCCCTGAATAGGCATGGCTTACCTTTTTTTTTAAAATAACATATCTAGTGTTTATTTGAAAACTGGACAGTTTAGTATATTGTAAACTCTGAATACTGTTTTATTTTTCTAAGAGCTTTTCTTTGTCTTTAGTTACTTGCTTGGCCTGCAGAACCTGTCTCCTTAAAGTAGACAGTCATTGATGTCTGCTTAGTTTGTTGTTTTTATTCTTATTTTTTAGCCTTGATTCCTTAAAGTCATTTTGATGTCTATATGGGTCAGTCAGCCAGAAAGTGATTTAGACAAAAGTTGTACTGATAACACTTTGAGCCCCTAAAAGTTCTACACTATTTTAATTTCTCTGTGGGTTAGTTTGGGAATGCATTCAAACTTACAGCCATTTCTCAACACTTCTTTGGCTTTTTCTTTTTGCCAAGCAATGTGTTCTGTAATTTTCTAGTCAGCCAGGGATTTGTGGAGATCTTATCTAAATCCATCTATGCCTTTTTCTTTTCGAGAAAACATCACCCCTGTTAATTGCTTATTGGTCTGCTGTTTGCCTCAACTTGGACTTCAGCATCAGCCTTACAAAGCTGAAGAGTTTCCCTATCCATTTTTGCTAAGCCCACCCCTTTTAGCCAGTTTTCTTTTTGGGGGGGAGGCAAAGTGTACAGTTTTA